CCAGGCTTAATCTCAGATCCAATGTTTTCTGCATCCTTAATTGTACACAGCTTCTTCAATTGGGTATGTGGATTGAAAATATTGACTCATTCAATGGGCCCTATAAGTAAAAAAGAAATTTATGTAATTTATATATCGAATATCATTCATGAGCTCTATTGAGCGATAATGTGATTGGTGAGTTGTAAAGGTCCTGCATGTGAGCAGGGATGGGGTTGGGGAAGTAAATTAATCACTTCACTCCATTCATCAATGATTGAGAACCACTTGCTCGCATGCGGGTGGTCGAGCAAGTGGTTCTGAAGGAGATGTGTATTCTTACATGGGTAATTATAACTTATAAGTTGATCAGGATACTATAATTGTCACAGCTAGAAGCGATGTATAAATAAATGTGTTAAAGTAATAGTTCTCTTTATACATGGAACTCCTACAGTGTGTTTCATGAATGGACTTGGGCAATGAAAACACGTTATACGTATCATGACAACTGACTTGGGTATTGAAAACACGTTATACATATCATGATATGTTACGTAGTTTTGTTCTCTCTTGTGTTAGTGTGATTAATTAATGCGTGTGCTTGATTTTTGTCCGCAACATCAGCGACAATTCTGAATAATCTGAAAAAACATGTAAACACATCAAATATCCTTTCAACTTTGACTGCAAATTTAGGCAGAAATTGCTCCTCAATTTCAGTATATATACACAAAAATACAATCAATAAAATAAAAGAATTGTCATTTTATATCATAACGTGTTCTTAGTTTTGTCCTCTTATCATGTGTTTGTGTGATTTACATGCATATTTATATCCCCAACATTGACGACATTTCTGAGTAAACTGGACAATTATATGAACACATTAATTTTTTCAACTTGAGTACCAAAAGTAGACGGTAATTGCACGCTCCTTATAAATTTCAGTATATACAAAATATAATCAATAAAAATAAAAGAAATTGTCATTAACTTGTATGAATCAACAAATGAACATTAATTTGTTAGTTCGTTCCAACCAATTGATATTATTCATCAAAACAGCTTGCCAGCAAACTCCTGGATGTCTTCGTCTTTACATGAAGAAGGAGAAGCATAAGAAGAGAGGGACTTGAGCTCAGAGAGACTCCTCCCAAGTTTCAGAGCAATCTTCATCCTGAAGAGCTCCCCATCCTCTCTCTTGTCCACTTCCCTCTCCCCCAAGTTCTTCTCAATCTCCTCCTCCATCTCCTTGTAATATCCGTAACAGTTTCTAAACAACTCGAACACCATCCCCAACTGCCCTCCGTGCTCCAGGGTATTCACGACCGTCGCCATCGCTCCTCCTACCACCGCCAGCATCACCGGCCACCCCCCAACTGAGGAAAAGGAAGAAGCACTCGCTCCGACCGCAGCGAGTCCAGCGAGCACAGGACCTGATATGGCCAGCATCCTGTTAATCTTCACCGCGATCTCTCCGACATGTCTGTACTCATTCTGATCTTTCGTCTTCAGTAGCCGAACAACTCCCCTCATCTCCTCTTCTATCTCCTGGCTCCATCCATTGTTCTTCTTCTTCGTCATCACCCGCTTCCTAGGTTTGAGCTTTGGCCACCAGCGCGCAGGCTGTACCTTTTTCGGGAACTTATCTTGCAACGGTAAGAGAGGTAGAGGGTAAGCCCTGTCGATTGCCAGGAGTTTCTCCACTGCCTCGTCTATGTCTGTTTCAGTAGGAGACGATCCTATGGCGATGGTAGTGTGTATGGACTTTTCAAGCTGTTTGTAGAGCTGCGTGGCTTTCCTTTGCTCTTCGGCCAGCTGGGACGGCTGCATCTTGTTGACCAGCACCATCATGCCTGTGGCCGCAGAGAATAGGATCGCGGACGAGACGTTGAGGGGTGTCGAGGCAGACTGAGCACTAATGGAAGAGATTGCAGACATAAGGGAGGCGGAGAGAGTGATGGAGTTGATGGAGGAGAGGAGGAGCTTGTTCCAGTCATTCCTTTGCTCGCCGATGATGGAGTGCATCTCCGCCCTGTCTGCAGCTGCCTCGGCTATTGCGTACAGTTTGAACATTGGAGACTCGCCGGCACTGTTAGATGATCCGTGTGCCGTTTGTCGGGGGTTTGTGCTGATCATGTCTTGATCTCTGAGTGATAATTCCTCCATGTTGATCATAGTACTTGATTGTTTGCGGAAAGAAATGGGCTTGTTTCTGCTGGGACTGACTGGAGCCTGGAGACTTGCTTGAAATCTCCTTGGCCGGCGCGAAATCGACAATGATGGAGATGAAGATGGTAGCAGGCTCGGCGATTTGAGACTTGACATGTTTCTTCTTTACTTTTCCTTGTGAATTTTCTGTCAAATTAATTCTTTGATCTTTTTGAAGGCTTGAGATTGTGCAGGTTGGTTTTTGTTTGAGGTTGAGGTGATGAGAAAGTTTTGCGGTGTTAAGACACATATATAGAGAGAGGGTGAGAGAGCGCGGAGGGGAGTGGATCTGGGATTTGAAGAGGTCGTGTGTATTGAATGTGATATCATGTTGACTGACTTGGTTTTTAGGTTGAAATAGAAATATTGTTATTATAAGATGAGAAAAGGTCAGGATTGACTAATATTTACCCTGACTATTCTATGCCTTGTGCCATGTGCATATATATATATATATATATATATAAAATGAGACGATGAGGCTTATATTTTTATCGTGAGCTAGCTCAATAGGCTATTCAAAATAATGATCGACATTGCCCATCGTGATTAACACTCATTATGATCAATATGTAGAAAAAAATATATTATTTTAAAATTTCTAATTATTATTTTAGCTATGCGTAGAAAGCACGATTGTTAATTTGCCTGAAAAATAAACAATTCAAACTAGTTTGATTTATATTTTAGAAGAATCTAAATTATGTAAAAAATTTATCAGATACATGTGATGATGTATTGAACAAAATATACAGTGCTGATTATGAATTTGATGAACCGATTAGTCTAGCTCACGATAAGCTTTGAGCTCACCATCTCACAATATCATTACTATATATATAATTGTATCTCATTTGCTACTTGTGCCCAAATCATGAACTAATATTTCAGAATATATGAACAAAAAGAATTAGTAACACCCAACAAATCAAGATTCTTCCTCCCTTTATTTCCTTATTTAAATTCCTACCGGTCTACACATGTGTACCAGGTCTCTATTTTATCTGACCTAGTTGCAAATTTGAGGTTATTAACCATGACACTGTTATAGCAACGCAACACATCAGGAAAGTGTCTAGGACATCAATACGTACTAATTAATATTTTTTGTATAATTTTTGACAATTGATCATATGGTAAAACTTTGGACCCATTAAAATGTCTTGTGAGCATGCAATTTGTATTTAAGTTGCGGACGTCAATAACGAACTGTGTCAAGCTCAAACTGCATGAGAATTAGTTGGTAGTCTACGCGCTTAGATTGCTTGACATTTGAAAAATTGACGGAATTTGGCAGTGAAAAGGCTTGATGCTTAATTAAGGACAAGACTCAACGGAAAATTAATGTTGGAAGTTTATATTAATTGTTGGATGAATTTCATAAAACTATTATAAAACTATTAGATGATCCGTGTGCCGTTTGTTGGGGGTTTAATTTGTTGATCATAATATTGTCTTGATCTCGGAGGGAGAGCTTCTCTATGTTGATCGTGGCAGCTGGGAATTGCTTGGAGAGGGAAATCGTGACAGCTGGGAATTGCTTGGAGAGGGAAATCGTGGGCTTGTTTCTGCTCAGACTGGCTGGAGCTTGGAGACTTGCTTGGAATCTCACGTGCCGCCGGCGTGAGGTCGATGGTGATGGAGATTGTTTGGGTAGAAAATTGTTTTCATTGCTAAATTCATTACAACTTCGGGTGTTACAACAAATTCAAAACAAAGATAGCCTTTTTATAAGACTTTCAATACAGTGAAAATAAATTACAACTCTCTTTCAAACAACACGCAATAGGTATTTATCTCCTATCGCTTTCGCGGGATCTTTGCCTGGGCCGGGGACGTTGATATCCGTGGACCGTCGCGGATCAGATCCGGTTGACAGAAAATTGACAGAGCACCTACTTCACTAAGGAAGTATTCGCTTGAAGCTCTGAAATCGACCAAGCGAAATCAGTAGCTCTTCTCGAGATTAAGACCAAGCCTAATCTCGAGGAACGGACGGACGGGGCTTCAGATCTCTCGAACTCTCCCTCTTTATGCTGAAGAACTTCGCCGACATCAGTTAGCCTCCTCTGAAATTCGTTCTCCCTTGCTCTCCAACTCAGCAGCACCTCCTCCTCTTGATAATAAATCACCCCCTGTGAAATGAGCCTCTAGGCCTGTATTTATAGTCATCGGTTGGGGAGTTTTCGGATAAGAACGATGGATTTGGCCTTATCCTTAGTTGACAACTGTGTAACCACGTTTGGAGATGATATCTAGGCAGTTGGGAACCTCTGGAACAGAATAAATCCCGTGAAAAATAGCAAAAAACGCGTTTTGGACGTTATGGAATACATCCGTCGCCAATGATCATTGGCAACGGATTTCCCCGTCGCCAATGTTTATTGGCGACAGGATTATTGGTGACGGACTCCGCCCCATCGCGAAAGTGTATTGGTGACGGATTTGTCCCCGTCGCCAATGTACATTGGCGACGGGTTTGTCCCCGTTGCCAATGTACATTGGCGATGAGTATGAGCTCGTCGCCAATGTACATTGGCGACAGGTGTATTCCCGTCGTCAATGTACATTGGCGACGAAAAATGCCCGTCGTCAATGTACATAATCAGGTAAAAAAAATTATTTCTGCATTGCAAAGCCCCCCAATCGGGAATGCGTACCTGTTACTACCATTATTCACAATATATTAAACAATACTCATAATATCACATTTATCGATTCGCATCCAACAATATTCATGTTCACCGATTCACATTCAACAATATTCACATTCACATCCAACAATACTAACATTTACATTCATCGATTCATATACAACAATATTAACATTTAACAATTCACATATATACATAATCAGGAGGTCATAATATGTTCAACACAACCCAAAAGTCCACATAATCAGGAGGTCATAATATGTTTAACACAATCCAAAAGTCCACAAAAGTTACCAAAAAGTCTAACTCATCACTCACTCATCATAGTCGTGGTCCCTATCGTCGTGATCTCTATCATCGGTGGCGGCTGCATCAGAATGCCGTACCGTACTGCTGTTTCCTACGGCGGTACCTCCTCTAGCCTAAAAAGAATGTAAATCAATATGAGAATATATTCCAAAATACTCATAATAAATACATATATATAATATGACATATATACCTCTCCACCACTTGCAGCTGCATGCTCATCAAATGCCAACACCATAATATCCGCGTATATAGACTGCGGAAGCAAGTCCTTTACGGGTTGAGAATCGATGAGTCGCTGAACGACATCCCAAGTCGTTTGTGCACCACTTAACTCGTGCTTAATAGTGGGAAGAAAACTTTAAGCCAATGGAATTTCAACATTCTTCATCAAGTATTTTCCAATCTTACCCACGACATATGACGTGTCACCGTGTTGCGTCGATGTCACAGATTGGCTGCTAGGATTATTGGTGGTGGTGAGTGTCTTAACTCTAGTACTTGACAGAGGCACTCTTCCTTTCTTTCTTGAGTGTAAACAGTAAGCTCCGTCGACAACTTCCATCCACTCATCTCTGGTCATGCCGCCTGCATATCATATATCATAAAAATTAGAAACTTTGATGAAAAATCATTAAGTATATACAAATCTAAAATTAATCTTATACTTACGTTCAATTCATTAATTTTCTCCACCTTTTTGTCATTTCCCTCTACATTTTCATAGCACTGGGGTGGTGTATAAGCTCTTTTAGCTAGAAGAGTCGGGGGCATAATCAAAGCGTCCTGTGATATATTAAATTCCAAATTAAATGTAGGAAACTAATCACATGAAATCAGTTTTAATAATATGATCATACCGGGTTTTCGCTCAAATACTTATGCTCGATCTGAGCATAAGAAGTAGCTCCTAAAAAGTGATCGTATAGCTTTGATCTACGATTCGCCGATGCCGTTTCACATATTTTCTACAAAATAAAGTATTTTTTTAGTATGTGCGATGATAAAACATTGGCGACGGATTGAAATCCATCGCCAATACAAACATTGGCGACGGGAACAACCCCGTCGCCAATGTTCCGTCGTCAATGTTTGTATTGGCGACGGATTTCAAATCCGTGACCAATACCCCATCGTCAATACTCAGTTTTCTACTAGTGTTAATTATGTAAATTAAAAAAAAAACTACCATTACAAATTCTATTGCAGAATGTGTCATAAACTTTCAAATTTGTAAAAACCCATTTTTGAGCTAATCTGCTTTAGTCCTTCATGTGGATGATTTGAAAGCAACATTTATCGTCCATGATTTAATCTGACTATAGTATATCTAAACGTGCTTCCATCTTTTGCGGCTTAATCAAACTTAAGTCTGTCTTAATTTAGTCTAAACCAACAACCATGGAATAAAACATATATAGCTACTGGTTGAAGAAATGGCGAGCATAACGACAAAAACTGCAGGAAATGACGAAAGAACAAGTTTGGGTGCTGTGCGGTCGACCGCGTGTGGCGCGGCGGTCGACCGCAAACATGTACGAGGATGAGTTCTGTTCTGTATCAGGTCACGGTCGACCTCACGTGGCGTGGCGGTCGACTGTCAAAAGTCCAAAGACTCTGGAAAGTTTCTGTCATTTTCGTCGTCGACCGCGCATAGTTCTGCTGTCGACCGCGTGTCGGGTCTGCAGTTGAGTTTGGTTTTCTGAGTTAATGTATAATCTTATTCCTAATTAATTAGGATTAAGCAATGACGTTTTGAGCAGTCTTTGAGAGGGGATTGTTGAATCCAATTGTGGAAGAGTTGTGAGAGATCTAGAGGCTTTATTTTAGGGTTTATTTGGTAAAATTTGTAACTCTATTTGTATTCTCTTGATTTCTAATAGTAAGAACCCCCCCCCCCCTTTATTTTAGGGTTTATTTGGTAAAATTTGTAACTCTATTTGTATTCTCTTGATTTCTAAAAGAACCCCCCCCCCCTCCTTACCCCGTGGATGTAGGTAACTTGCTGAACTACGTAAAATTTGTTTGTCTTGCTGTGGTATTATGTTTGGCTTATTGGTTGTGATTTATCTTGTTCTTGTTCGTGTGGTTTCGAGCTTCCGCCGCGCACAACAAGTGGTATCAGAGATTCAGGTTTGGCTTGAGGCTTGTTCAAAGAATTCGGTGAAGGATTCCTCTTTAAAGAGTTAGATCGACAATATGAGAGAAGCAAGCACATCAGGTTCATCTCTTACGAAGGCGATACAGAGTCTGAGTATCAATAACATGAAGATTGATGTTCTAAAGTTCGACGGCAAGATCAATTTCAGTTTGTGGAGGTGTCAGGTGATGGGTGCGTTGGATGCACAGAATTTG